ATAAGCTCACCCCGACATTACATTCATCAAGACCTTTCATTTGAGTACCCACATGCATTTCGATATATTTTTCATATATACATATATATGATATATATAAATATATGAAAAATTGATGTGGGTACTCAAATGAAAGGTCTCGATGAGTGTAACATCGGTATGAGCTTATATTTTCAAAAATGTCAATATTTCACAAGATACAAAGTCTTTACTAAATAATTACTTTTGTTAAATTGCACTGTACTTTCTTAATTATTGATAATTTTAAAGATATAAGCTCATCCCCATGTTTCTTTCGTCAAGAGCTTTCATTTGAGTACCCACATGCATATTCATATATTTTTCATATACACATATATGTAATATATATAAATATATGAAAAATTGATGTGGGTCACATAGTGACTGCAAGGTTGCTAGTTATTATTTTTTTCATTATGTCAAATCAATAATAATAATAACATTAATAATAAAATTAATAATAATAATAAATAAATAAATTTTAGGTGAAAAACCATACCAGTGCCAATGGCCAGAATGCGAATGGAGATTTGCCCGAAGCGACGAATTGACCCGTCATTACCGCAAGCACACAGGTGCTAAACCGTTCAAGTGTGCAGTCTGCGAGCGATCATTTGCGAGAAGTGATCATTTAGCACTGCACATGAAGCGGCATCTCCCTAAGCAACACGCCAAGTGACAAGAGACCACCTCGGTGGAGCACCAGCCCTTCGATATTAACTCACTACCAACTCTATCTTCTCAAGACTGGTCTTGAAGCCGAGTTTCAACCTTTATATCAAATTATTATCAATTATATTTGATCCAGCGGACGTTCACCAACTCGACGAAACTCTTCGGTTCTTCTTCTTCTTTTTTATCTTTATTCCGCGCCACCATCACCTTTACTAATTATAATCATCAATTATCAATAAATATATGTATGTCAAATATTAATTAATTAGCAGCAAACGCACGCGTAATACTTGCCCTGTACTTAATTGTTTACGGTGGCTGGTCCACAAATATCTAATAAGTCTCTCTACTGTATTTTTCATATATTAAATTATAGTTATTCAGTCAAAAATATTCATTTTTAATTATATTTTATGTATTTATGGAAAATTTTTTAATTGATTTTTTAAAAAATTTACTGTAAATTATTTTAGAAAATTTTAATTTTTTACGCATTTAAAATTAATGAAAAAAATTTTTTTTTATTTGATTTTTCAAAGTGTAAAAAAAATTTTTATTAATTAAAATATTATATTAAAAAAATTTTTTTTTTTTTTAAATTATCTACTGTTAAATTAAAAATAATTTTTTGTGTTATTAAAGTGCGTATAAATAAAATTTTAATTATTAAATAATCGGCTGTTTTTTTTTTTTTTTTTAAATTATCTACTGTTAAATTAAAAATAATTTTTTGTGTTATTAAAGTGCGTATAAATAAAATTTTAATTATTAAATAATCGGCTGCTCAATTTCAAAACACAGTACCAATTTTAAGATTTTAAAAATTATTCTTGTTAAAAAAAAAGTTTGCGCGCCTAATTGATAAAAAATTTAATTTATAAATAGAAAATACTTGAATATAAATATTAAAAAAAAAATAGTTGAAATTAAGGTCTAAAATTTATAAAAAATGCAGCAATACTAAAAAAAATCACTAATTACTGTGTTTTAAAATTGGGCAGCCATAATTTTGACTGAATTCTATTAAAAATTTTTTCTCAATTGTAAAAAAAAAAATTCCAAGAATAAGAATTGAAGAATTAACAAAATAAAATAAACTTAATTACACGTAGATCAATCACGTCCACTAAAGACCACCGCGACTTACATGTAGAGTTAAAGTATCATATTAAATAAAATATATTAAATATAAAATATTAAATAATAATAATATATCCAAAGACTACGTTGCCGAATGTCTTGGGGACGTGTTTTTTTAGTTCAGTCAACAGTTAGATATTTCTTCTTTAAAAAAGATACTTATTAATAATATTAATTATTAACAATTATTAATTATTAATTATAAATATTAATAGACGCCCAGTACTGCAGCAAATGTCACTATCGGAATTAATTGCACGTGTACCCTTAATTAAAATATTATAAATTATAATAAATATTTAAATTATATAAATTTGTAATTTCGGAGTTTCTTTGCCGGATTATGTATAGTGTCTTTAAAAATTAATTATTATTATTTTATGATTGAGGCAAAGAGACCCGATTAATCCGTTTGTGTAAATTAAAATATCCTAGTCGGAGCCGATGTACAAAGATGTACTTGAAGCTAATACTAGATTTATTTCTTAAGTAGTAATTAGTACTACAAAAAAAATTTATTGTCGATAATGTATGGATTGAAAAAAAAAAATAAAAACACAAAAAAATTCACATTGATTAATATTTAATAAAAATTGATTAAAAACTGCACTGGTAACTAATCAAAGTGCATCGTCGATGCTGTAGTTTGTAGAAAAAAAAAATTTATACAAAATTTTTTTATTTTTTACATTTTTTTTTTTTTCATATAATAAATACAATTTTATTTAAACAATTATTTTGACGTTTTATGTTTTTTCATTTTATTGATAAAAATATTGTAAATCAGCAAATGTCCAAATGGCTTAATAAATTTTAATTGTATGGCTAATTCTTTTATTTTTATTATATATTTTATTTTTTGATATTTGTATTTTGTATATTTTGAGTCCCATTAGACGATTAATATACAGGAAGAATCACATTGTATTTATATAATTATAATTATATAAGTAAGTATAAAGTTTAAATGTTATTAGGGTAAAAATTTTTACCGCAATTTTGAAATTAATGGTTTGAATTTTTGATATTACGGCGAAAATATTCTATTGGTTATATTGCTATTGATGAATAAAACCGAGTATGCGTATCACATTTCCTCTCTTGACCTATTATTATCACTGGCCCAGAAAGGGTGAAGCCCTGTATCACTATTGTATGTATAGTTAGTTATAATTTATAATAAATCAGTCTAAATGATAAGACGTTGTTCTAAATCCTTCAATCTTATCAGTTTCTCCTGTAACTCTAACAGGTTATGGGCCTAGGGATTAGTTGAAAGTAAAGTTAAAGTTGAACTGTCAAGTAAAATTAAAGTTCGAGTAAAGTTAAAGTGGAATTGTTAAGTAAAAATTAAAGAAAAATTTTTTCAACAAAAGTTCAAAATTTAATTTTATAAAAAAAAATGTTTTATGTTTTTTTCTTAGGTTCAATAATTCTATCGTAATTTTAAAAGTAAGATTTATAATTATAACAAAATTTGAATTTGAATTCATGTTTATGATTATGAATCTTAATTTTTGAATTACACCGAAAATATTAAGTTTTTTTGAAAAAAATCGTAAACGTTTTTTTTTTTTTTATAAAATTAAATTTTGAACTTTTTTTCGAAAAAAATTTTTTTAGAACCAATATTTTCGCCGGAATAATAAAAATTTGAACCAAAAATCTTGGGCACTAGTTATATCACACTGAAAGCAGATTTGTGACTTGTGACAGGATTTATAAAAAATTATAAAAATATAAATGTTCATACTTTTGAGTTATGAATGTTTTAAGATTACTTTGTGGTTATAGTTTTTAAAAATCCCTGCTGTGTTTTATGACATTTGATATTTAAAATTAGTTTTTGATTTAGTATAATTTTAGATAATTCTGAGACTAACAGTAATTAAAAATTTTTACAAACTAAAATTAACAAAAAAGTTATAAAAGTAAAATTTTGATTATTTAATTTTTTCAATAAATTTAATTTATTGATTTGTAATATATATAATATAAAAAATGTCTCAGAATATCCTAGAATATTTTTTAATAAAATAACTTTGTTCGTTAATATTTAAAGAGGTATGCAGTAATAATTATAATTATAATTATCGTCGATTACTATTCATTGGCAACAAGAGCAATCATGGTGAAGCGAAGATCTTCTGGATCACGTTCCATGTATTGTCCACAAATTTTTGCGGCATTTTCCAACATTGTATCTTCAGTTGCTGGTCCGTGATTTATTGGAATTGATTTACGGCCATCTAAATATTATTATTATTATCATCTTAAAAAAAATTATGACAGATAAAAATAAAATGATGAAACTTAGCAGTAATTTTAAAAATTTTTAAAAGTACTGATTGCGGCTAAAATAGTGAAGATAAAAAAAAATTAAAAATTAAAAGAGACCTTTTTTACAGAGCATTAATTCTCTCTAAAAAAATTCCTTATCAAATTGACCGTATTTTTATACGATATGTATTTACAATTTCTATACTAATAATTTCATTAAATGTGTTACGTGAAAAATTCAAAGTTTCACTGTCAATGAAAAAAAAAAAAAAAAAACATTTTTCCAACTGTGCTATGATTATTTAATAATGTAAAATTAAATTTGAGTTTATTTGAAATTAAAGTCTGTCTAATGTTGAATATCATTGTATTTTTATTATAAAACTTAGTTATTCTTTCATTATCACCATCATTACTAATTTTCGACTTTTCTTTTGTATGCATATTTATTTAAATCACTGTATAAAGCCCATTGGCGTTTAATTACTAAGTCAATAAATAAATGAATAAATTAAAAAAAATTACCAAGCTCCCACAAAGATCCATCTTTGGCAACAAACGCAACAAAATGATGATAAACTGGAGCATTTTCCTGAGGCGCTGCTGTTTGGCCTTCTTGAGCTAATTGTTCATGAGCGTCGATTATCTCACTGGCGGTGTTCATCAATAATTTTCCTCGATCAGCAAATGACAAATCTTTAGCTTCTTCGTAAAAATTTTTTAAGATTCCGTCTTCTAGCTCGATTCTGAAAAATATAGGCATTAATTTTTCATGTCTAGAATTAATTTATTTAATTTTGTCTTACAATAGTTACACACAAAACCTAAGCGTCACATAAAAAACTGTTGACTTTTTGATAAATTTTATTTAATAAGAAGTTAAAAATTAATAATTGTCAACTTAAATTCAACAAAATATTACCAAAAAAATTTTTGTGCCGCTTGGGATTGTATTGCATTGTATTATAATGTTTCTGTATTATTAAGGAGGTCCTTTCGCCGCCAATGTAAAATAAAAAATATTAGATTATGAGTAAATTCAATTTTTTTCTAATAGTTGAAGTCCTTATTTATCTAATAGTGAGGTTTAAATTATACTTTACCGGACAAATTTTTAAACCTCACTATTAGATAAATAA